AAGGGGCAGCAGAGGCGGGAAACCGATAGAGTCAACCCATCCTCAGGAGACAGAATCAACAGGCTTTAGCAACTGATTTAAGAAATTAAGTGAGGGGCAGTGGGGGAGCGGAAGAGGAAAGATGACTCCCAGGTTCTCGGCTTGAGCAATCGATGGATGGGTGCCATTCAGCGAGGTGGGGAGACAGGGGGTGGGGGAGAGGAAGATGAGTTTCATTTTGGATAGGTTGCGCTTAGGTACTTATGGGGCATCCAAGTGGAGATGTTCGGTTGAGTCCTTAAACAGACACAGTCTTGAGTCAGAGGCCAGCAGTCATCAGCTCGGAGAGCGTTCTCGAAGCTGTGGCAGCCGCACGGCTTCTCTCCAGCTCCTGCTTCAGATGCCGAGGGCCTGGCTAGACAGGGATTCTCCGGACAGGGGACAACAGGCCTCAGCTCGATCCCTCGCTAGCACCTGACCCAATGGGGCAGCCCTTTCTGGTTCTCACCTATGCCCAACATATGGAAATATGGACTCCTGTTGCCTCATCGTTTGATTTCTCTTAGATGGTTAGATGACATCGCTCAATTTTAAAGTGTTGGCAACTGATTCAATTAAAAAATATTTAATATGGGCCATGTCCGAGGGCCAGATCTGTTCCGGAGGCCGCTGGTCAGGGGCTTCAGGTTTGAAGCGAGGGGTTAGACAGAAGTCTCAGGGTCCCTGAGGGCAGAGATCCTCCAACGAAGGCCCTGCATCAGAATTGCCCACGAGGCTCGAGGCTCGTGTGAAAACGAGCCCCCACGCTCTGTCTCCAGTGATTCAGACGAGGTCGGTCTGAGAAAGCCAAGGAGTCTGGTCTTGTCAGGCCCCCTGGGTGATTCTTGATGCACTCAAGTTTGAGAACATCTAAGTCAGGGCAGGCAGAGGAGGCTGAGAAAGGTTGGTCAAGGAGGCCGGGGAAAACCAGAAGAGCCTTGTCTAGAATGAAGATGTTGGCTTCCTGGGACGGATGCCAAGGTCCCTGTTCACACCCCTCTCCCCCCAGAGCGTCTGGGCTCATCCCCAAGAAAGAGGAACGCTGCTCTTACTGCTCAGTTATGAGACCTGATGGGCTACGTCTGCTGGTGAGAGCAATGCGGCCAGTGGGCAGGAAGAGGTCGGTGTACAGCGTGTGGGTCTCTTTTCTGCCTCTTCTAGCCATAAGTAGTAAGCGGAGCAGCATTTGCTCTTTTTCTTCCCATATGCTTTTCTGTCCTTCCCAGCCTGGGCCTCCACCAACCTAGGCCAGCCTGGTGTCAAGCATGGTGGCACGCACACTCAGTCTCTGAGTGTTTCCTCCCTGTAGGTGGTGGTGGTATTAGGTCAGCCTTTCTTCCTATCACAGTGGTGACAGCTAAGTGCTGGGATCGAGGAGAATGGGGTGGGGTGGGGTGCGAGGTGAGGTGAAGTAGTCTGATCTACTACCTCTGACTAGTTTAGGAAACAATAATGTTCTCTGAGGTTTTACCCAGCTTGCCAGAATGCTTCCCTGGAGTTTAACCCACTGTTAACCATTATACTTTTTGTTGGCTGGTTCCCCATTATTTCCTTTGCATACACCTTCGTTAGGGAGGCATGGAAGGGAAATGAGAGTTCAGGACCAGGATTGGGAATTGCTGGCATCCCCCAGTCTACTCCAAAACCGTACCATTTTTTTCTAACATCCAGCAGGATGGCATCCCAATTTCGACCATAAGACCAGGACTAAAAAGTGTGCACTGGATTTCATAACAAGGTCACTAGTGACCTTGAACAGAGCAGTCAGTGGCATAAGAAGAGCCAGGCTTTGGTGAGATGGGAAGAGAGTAGGAGGTGAGAAACAGAAGTGATTGTAGTCAGCTCTTCTAGAGAGCAGGAGAGAGGGTGGAAGTGGTGAAGTGCACGGGGTTAAGGCCAAGATGGGGAGGTCCTTGATTGGAAGAGCTGGCGAAGAGGAAGTACAGAGGGCATGGTGCGGCCAGAGTGAGGTCCCTGGGGAGGCGGGGTGCTGGCGGAGATGGAAACTTCTGGAGCACAGGGAGGGAATAGCTTTGGCTAGAGGGTCACTCCTTCCATTCTAACAAGAGGACAAGAGAAGAATGAGCCATTATAGGCAAGTTCATAAATTCGGTGACAGAAAGTTGAAGGATTGCTGTCTGGTGGCTGTTTTCTCTGTAGAGCTGGGGTGCTGTCCTGGGTTGAGGGCAACTCAGAGGGTTAACGAGGATGGAGTTTAATGGAAATCATGATGGACAGCGTGCCAGGTGGGCAGCACCAAACGTGAGAGGTGCAGGGAAGGGTGGAGCTGGACCCTGGCTCGGGGTTTTGTCAGCAGGCACTGGGAGAGCAGGGGCAGAGGGGTGAGAACAGTGGAGTCTGGCAGAAGGGGGCTGATGGGGAAGGTTGAGGGTCATGCCGAGGGGAGATGGGGGGACAGTGGGAAATGGGGAAGAGTAAGAGTAAGAGAGATGGAAGCTTCACCCCGCCAATTCACAAATCGCATTGATAGGCAAAAAGATCTGAAAAGTTTAGCAGGAGAGGAAACCTGAATTTTGTGTTGACTTTTGAAACCATAGAATCCCTCTCCCTAACATACCTGTACTCCCATCATCACTCAGACCTCATAGTCTGTGGATTTCACTGACATATAAACAAACCACCTGCGTTAGACTGTTTATTACAATAGGCCCCAGCACAGTCAACTAGTGCAGTTGTTGAGGGCATTCCCCGTCTACATACGCCCTTGGTTCTTTATTAGGTATGTCCAAAATTGGTGTCATTTAAACGGCTTTCTCTTGAGGGAGACTTTAAGTCCGTTAGAGTGAGAATAATCCGTGGCATGAATAGAAGCATGTTAAATCTGTGAGAAAACCCACAGTCCAAGAATCAAGTTAGCTCACACCCACAGAGTGTACTGGACATGCTGCAGACAAGCATTCTCGGGGCCAGACGTGGCCTTATAAGGTGGCCTGACATTTTCTCATGGCCCAGGCCACCCTCCAAAAATATCCAGAGACAGAAGAAGAGTGGGAACTGACCTCCTAAACATTTCGAAGATTAACAAGCAGGCTCTCCATTAAGCAGGAGCACTAACACCTGCTTTCTGACCAGTTCCAAACGCCCTAGGCAATTCAAAAGCAAGCAGCCTGCAGGGGCCATGCTAGGGAGGGCTCTGTAGTGGAAAGTGAGTAGACGGAGCCCCAAAGCATACATCCAAGCCGGTTTCTTTGCTGCAAAGAAAAGTGTCATTTCCTGTCCCCCTCCAGAATATGCTTTAAGAGCTGACTGTCCTTGCTTTATATGGACAATAGAGATCCGTGACTTATTTTGATTTGTGTGCCTTTCTGCCTCCTTGGGCTGAAGCTGTGTTCAACTCCTTTGACTCCCAAAGCCCAGAATCGCTTGCGATGTGCTGCCCCCCGGTGGTACACCCTGGCTACAACAATGTCAGAGCAGAAATGGCGCAGTAATGAAATGGGCTTTAACCAAGTGCAGCATCTGGAAAGGTGTCTGGGTAACAGCCACCAAAGTCAAAGATAGATGCAAAAGTGTTGCCATGGTGACAAGTCTATGTTCTGGAATTAGTGAGCAAGAAAACACAATCTCCAAACATAAAGACTTATGAAATGGGTACGTAGTGCTTATGCACACAGCCTCTCACACATTTCACTTTTGCTCATCCAACAGGACTTTCAGGGTGAATTGCCTTTCGTGGGAAAAAAAGACTTTTGGTAATGAGACCTACCTCTAATAGGGGCCTCTAAATTTGAGGAAAACAAATAAAAAAAGGAATAGCCCCTTACATGTTCAAAACAAAGTGTTGGTCAGAGAACCACACGGCTCTCTCCTAACTCTGGTTCTCAGTTTCAGGCAGGGAATGTTAGTAAGTATGGCTATTTTTGGTAATAGTTGCCTAGAACAGTATCTTCACCACTGAACTGTACTACGAGCCGGTCTATTTGTAAGGCTGGGATTTTTAAAAAATAAATATGAGAAATTGCAAAGTCTTCATTCTTGTTATAGGGAACAGAACACACAACAACATCTTTGGAATGCTGTGTACAACAGTAGGTCGCTTTAATTATACCAATGGTAATTCTTCAGGCTGGGGCTTATGTTAACATAGTACACATAATTGCCACAAAATGTGACAATGACAAATTGAAAAGCCCTGGTTCCCATTACCACCCAAAGATTATAAAGGTGGTATTTTCTGGGTTGCCTCTACTATTAACTTTACCATCTGGTCCTCAGTTTCAGTTAAAATCATTTTATTTCTCCTTTTATAAATAAAAAGCCTACTTCTGAAACAGATTAGACTGATTAGACTCCACACGAGAAGTGGTCCTCCCCACTGTGCCTTGATCAGATAGCATTCCGAAAGAAAACGTTCTCCTTTGAAATAAATACCACACACTCGATGGTGGTGACAGTTAACTATGAGGAAGACCTGGCAGACTCAGGCAGGGGCTCAGTACTGCTGGAGGCACCTAATAGAGATCACTCAGAGAAATAACTAGAAAGAACCCAGCACAAGGAGACATCTCTGCTTTCGAGGTGATGAAATTTTGGGGTCTAGCAGTAGCAGGTCACAAGTGGCCCGGCGGAGGGTATTCTGTCAGTGTCCCTTCCACCACTGTGAACCTGAGTGCGTGAAGCAGCATCTAGGGTTGTTCGGCACGTGGAGGCACTTTTAGGACCATTTGACCGGGTATTTCGATATAAGATGAACATTGCTGGGCAACAGTAATTCCCAACTTGTATTAGAAAGGTTAGATTAAAACACATTGTAAGACCAGGGTCCTCAATCTTTATTCATTTCTTAAGCTTTCTGGTCTATTACATGAGGAATCTCTCTTGTCCCGTGGCAGCCAGGTTGGAGAAGGGCTTGGTGAGCCTGAAGATTGGCAGGAAGAACGACTTTTTGGAAAACTCTCAATATCTATTTTCTCCATAAGTGCAGAACCATTAAGATTAGCAGAAATTTAAAACTGTCAAAGCGGTCTATCCTAATCCCTGCTGGTCCCCCTGCCTGCGGCCCGCCAGGTTTCACCTGGGAACCAGGGCACCTTAGGAGCCTCTCCCGGAGTAGTGAGCACAGCTTCAGTGGGCTCATGCCAGGGGCATCTAGACACTCCCGTGTGTGTGTGTGTGGGGGAGGGGGCGGGTTACCTGACAGAATAAATGCTTGATAAATAATATTTAAAATAAAAGATAACACAGATAATATATGATGGAGAATTTAAACCCAACATTTCTTCCATTTCACTACATAGCCTTATCACAAAATCTTTTCTAGATATTCCTTCAGCAGTACATCTGACTTTGTGTCATAGATAATATTCCCTGTCTCAGTGCTAATTCTTTTAGCTGCACAGAAAACCCTATTTGAACTAGCCTCAAGCAAGGGGCTGTCAAAGAGCTGGAATCCATAACAGAATTGAAACTCTTCCATATTCCTATACCACTTTCAGGACAACTGAATGTGAAAAAGCAGTAAACTCACTGGTCAGTGTTTCAAATCCAGGCAGAGTACACATTAGTTTATTTTGAAATGCAATACAGATGAGTATTTCATCAATACAACCTATTACTACATTAACATTTCAGGTAAAAACAGCTTCCAAATGCATGCATAGAAAGTTAAGCATAGTCTTTGAACTCCTTATTTCTAAATATACAAAAAAATACATTTAAATTATAGAATTTTAGTGAATCAGACTTATAAAATTACAATTTTGGTTTTCACAACATAGAAAAATACAAAAATGACTATATATATATACTATTTTATCATTCTTACCCAAATTTCAGAGGAGCAATATGTACTGGTTTTGATGTTTTATCTGAAACTCAGAATTGAAAATAACTTCAAGATTGTACCACATAAATACCAACCTTTTATCACAAATGGAGAACCAAAAGCTTAAGTGGAATCGAGGGCGCAATCTCTTCATCTGCCTCTTCAATACTATACCTCCCCAGAGGAAAAAAAAACGCTTTCCTCCCTGACTAGCCCTCCCCGGTGCCTTTGATAACAGGCAAGCATGTGTTAGATGAACTGCCTTGTTATCAAGATCCCAACACAGCAAGACGCAGATTCGCAGCTTGCATCTACAAAACACTGCATCCCTCACAAGAGTTCTCTGCCAGAAGGCGGTCCTCAAAGGAGGGGACCTGAAACTCCCATCAGGGGGGCGGCTGGGCAGCCGATTCCTTTAACTGTGTCCTGAAACAAACACAGTTAAGTCTGACAAAATGCCCACCAAACACCACTTCCTCATTCACACTTTGTAAGAAGATGGGACATTTGGTGGAGTCTCAATTCATGAAAGAATGCCACCACTTCTAAGGAAAAATGAATTCATGTTAGAGATAAAGAAACCAGTTACTGAGAGAGGTGACTGCAGGCCATGGTGTCAGGCCTTACTTATCTGCCAATAAGCATTTTAAATGTTTGATGTACAAAAATAAGCACTGGGGGTGAGATCCTTTTTGAGAAGGGAGTTGTTTGCTGTGTTCTGGCTGCCAAAGTTCAATTTGATGCAATACCACTGTTTACGACAGACTGTTTTTCATAAACAGTGACAGACTGTAATAGAGGCCTGAATAAAAACCAATCTTGAAAAACCTGCATTTTTCATACCATCTTCCAAAACTAATCAAAAACTGGGAAACTGAAAAAAAATCTTATCCCAATTAACTAATAAGACTAATATAACCCAAATTGATTCTATTTTACAGTAGAAATACATTTTGGAAAAATAAAAACAAAAAAAGCATAACAAATAATCTTTTCCACATATTTTATCAAGTACAAGAACAGATTCTAATCTCAACACGCCCAAGTTAAGAGTGCTGAGAAGTGGAACTTTAATGTTCAATTCAAAAATAATTTATTACACATCTGCCTGCATTAAATTTTTTAAATATTTTTTTATTTTTCAGTTATAGTTGACATACAGTATTCTATCAGTTTCAGATGCACAGCACAGTGATTAGACATTATATAACTCAAAGTGATCGCCCTCCTGCATTAAACTTTAAGCTGCATATTTTCTTCTCATTTTCATCTTAATTTTCAAGCCTCTGTGATAAGCATTAAAAATTAGTTTTCCATTATGACACTCTTCTGATATTAGCAATTTTATGTTAAATAACTAGTCAGTAAAGCTAAAGCTAGTAAGCTAGACTTTTAAAGTTTGAAAGATCGACCAATTAAACCAAAAAAAGGAAAAGGCTCCACAAAGAACAAAGAACATCCTGTGTTTAAAATCTAATGCACATCTCAACCTGGGCTTTACATTTTCATCCGACCCTTTCTTGAAAAGTCTTAAATGCACAGCTGAGCGATTAAATGGTATGAATACATGATGTCAGACAATGGCCATACGACCAAAGTATTTCTTGGCTGCTCCAACACGTGGGATATTTACTTTTAGCTCGACTGCCCAACTGGAATATTTTACTGTCTCTGGACTTACACCTTGGTGGGACCATAATTAGGAAAAGTATCCAAATAGAAGAGTTGAATGAAAATTTAAAAATAAAATAAAATAATAAGAGTATAGAAACCTATTCCTGAATGTTCTTCCGGACTACATTTCTAAAGTAACACCTTTCATTCATTTTCAATAGCAGATTCTCCACTCCTATGTGACTAGACTGGTTTCAGGTCCGTAAGTGAGAATAGCTATTGGCAAATACATTACTCAGAGGGGTTCTGAGAATAGAACTGTAGAAGGTACTTGTCATTTACTAGCAGTGGAGCTTTCCCTTTCAGAGAACTGTCATTTTGTTAACATATGAGTGAGGCTGAGCCCCAGATAAGGTAGGTTTTCTACCATGTACACAAACTTATTAAATTCAAGCATGTTTCTTAGTGGCAGGCAGTAACGACTCAATTGAAAACAAAAGGGTTCTAGTTGTTTTCTGATGATGTGTACTGCCCCAAAGCTTCACAGACATACACACTGTATAACCACAGATATGAAAGTAAAGGTCCCAGCCATAACTTCAGAGCATTCCAGAGAACAAAGTTTGCTGCTTCAAAAATATAAATAGTTTCCAGCATGCAGTCAAGTACTTTGTAAAGGGGATGTTAAACACATTGCAGACTGAAACAGAACTCTACTGCAAGCTGGGCATTCTGTTGATACAGCTTCATTACTCAGACTGTAACTCTCAAGCATTTAATGTTACAGATCTTTATTTATCAGATACATGAAGGAAACAGGATATAAAATGCCAAATCCCTTTCTAACGCCATCGTAAATATTGGGAACTTTTGGTTGAAAAAGCATGCTGAAAAGACCGGCCAGGACGCTTTATGTAACGGCTTTAAAAATTTTTTTTAAACAAAATCCCAGGCCCATGTGATGTTAGATTTTGGTTTTTGTTTTATTTTTCAGTATTTTAAAAATAGTTCTTACTTATTTTCTATGAAATGTACTGAGAACTCAAAAAGTCTGCAGCATTTTTTGTCTTTGAAAAGTTTGGTTTTTGGAAGATGCAGGAAACAGAACTATTCAAATTTCTTGTGTTCTTCAGTATGAGAAAGGACTTTTCTTCTCTGGTATATCATGTGGAAGTATAACTGGGGAAAAACTGGAAAGAAAAGAAAGAGTTGGTTAGAGATCATTTAAAATTGGATGTTCTATTTAAAGCACACACACCTGAAGTCCTCAACGACTCTCTTGACTACTTTCTCATCCACCAACCAAGGAAGGGTAACAAGGAGGGCTCGGGGAAGGGGAAGAGAAACGCAGAGAGGCCCACCTTTTCCTGGGCTAGCCAAGGAGGAAGGCTGGTATGGACTGGAAGGACGGACACTACTGTCACTACCCTTACCAAGCAAGATGCCACAGAGCTGCCTCCCTTTATACTCTTTATACTCTCATACTATCTTCACATTTATTCTCTGATTTTACAATAACGAGGTGAAGAATTCTAGTGATGGCGTTATTATCCCTGTTTCACAAAGAAGAATTCAAGCCCCAGAGAGGGAAGGCAATGTGTCTGGGGTCTTACTGAAAATTACTGATGGAGCCTGGACCAGGCTCTGGTTGTTCTTTGAATAAGACCGAGGAGGGGGAGGAGTGCTGTGACGTTTGATCTGAATACAACTAAGCCAGGTTTGAGTGTAGGAAAAGTCCTTATGAAAAGAGCCAGTATTTTAGGCACTAGAGATTCTGTTCTTTGCAATTTATAGATTATTTTTAAAAGTACTGGTTCTCAAATGAATGGGGTGGTACTGCCTCCCTAGGGAGTATTTGGAAATGGGGGCAGGAACAATGTGAGACGGTCTCCCACAACCAAAAACTGTCCCACCCCAAATGCCCAGAGTGCCCTTGTTGTCAAATGCCATTTAATCTGCCTGGACTTTCCAGGTTACTATAAATTGGGGTAGGGGGTTCAATAACCATATAAGGAACTCCAGTGAGATGGTCTTGGGTGTACAATGTCCTTCCTTTCCTCCCCTTCTCAACAGCTCCAATCTCTATTTTTTAGACAATAACCTGGAATTTGGGAGAGGTAATTTCTACTACCGCCAACTCTGAGCTTTTCCTTTTTAAATGGGTTCCAAGTTGGCCAAATTTCAAATGATCCTCCCAAAGTACCAAGATAGCAGTGGGTATGTGCACGGAGATCTGATAAACTGCAGAGGAGGCCCTGCTGTCAAACAGGGCTGCCATCCATTCCACTCACTATTTGCAGGCAGGAAGTTATCACAGAAAAGACGGAGCCTGTGCATCCAATTCAACAGTGAGAGAACTATTTTGGTATAAAAGCCAGAAAATTTGACAAGCTCTATAATCTAAAAACTGAAAGTAAAGATATAATTAAACCATAAGGAATGCTAATTGTGATCATTTAAAATGTGGGGCCGTCACATTTCCATAGATATGCTTCAGTAACAGGAAACTTAGGGGCGAAATGCACTAAGGACTTTTCCACTGGCTGTATCTGTGATGACTACACCTCAGACAGGTGGCTACCGCCTCGCAGCCAGTTCAGAGGGCTGGAGGGAGGACAATGACCTAGAAGCCATTTACAAGGCCCTTAGTGGCAGTTAAAGCAAGACGAAGGAATATACCTAATCCCTGTAGGCAAGGAGATGCCAGAAGAGTCAGATGTCAGAAACAGAGGATAGATATGGCCTTTTCTTTCTTTTACATCTTCCAGAGGCTTCTCAGTGCCTAAGAGAAGGGAATGTGTGTCGGGGAGGCCAGGGGAATTGGGGGAGGGGGGGCGGAACTTGGGCTGTAGGTTCTCTACAGCTCTAGCAGTGACTTCTTGGTGACCAGAACTTGGATGACACTGTCTCCATCTGATTTACCCACACGTTCAGGTTGAACCCAACTATAATGGCTGATTCATGGCTACTATTTTTAACTACATTGGGCTATAATGAAGAATAATGCTAAGAAAATCTCAATCTGACAAGAGGCTATTTAGAATTCTACCTTCTGCTCTTCAAGTTCTGGACACACAGAATGGAGATGGTTGGGTGTGTGTGTGCGTGTGTGCACGTAAGTATCTCAATGTATTGTGGTGGGGGTAAGAGTGGGGGGTTGTGGGTACCTTTAAGAAGATGGGCTCTCTTTCTCTCTAGAGAAAGACTGGGAGGCTGAGAGCAACTAGAAATGCTCTGCCTGGGGCAAGTTTCCTTCTCAGTTTCTCTAAAAACCAGAGGTATGGTTATGGCTACTGACAACCTGGTGTGCCCAGCTTCCTGATGTCCTCACCCCATATCATTGTTTCTCTGACCTTTTTTACTCTCACTCTATAACCAGTTTTCACCAATGTGGGGAAGGAAAATGTAAATAGGACTTAGACATCTACTGCAGATACTAGACATACTGCCACTTCAGCAGAGCAGGAGAGGAGCACCTTGCAAGGGATCCAAAGCATCCCAGCACAAGAACACTCCCAGGACCATGGCTCATGGGCCACAATTTGGGCTATATGTACCTCAATGCAATAATAGGTAAGGATCATAAAGAAGAGGTGTTGCTTTAAGTAATATGTGTACATAATCAACTTCCCATTAAAGAAGATGTAAAGAAACTTAAGTTGTAGAAAAAAACCAAATTTGGTAAAGAAGACTGATGTCAACAGGGATGTTTCCTAATTCCGCATTTCTTCTTATAAATACAAAGCTTTGGAAAGATGGGAACTGTACAGTTGGCTGGGAATGAACTGTGTAAATTTGTCTCGCTATTAACAACCTAAACTACTGAAAACATCCAGGGCAACCGGCCCAGCCCAGAAACACAGTGCGTGCAGCAGACACAGATGATCTGCAGCAGATGTGGTCCAGGCTGCCATTTTGAGATGGGGAGGGAGTCAGGGGTTTGAAGGGAGTCTTCTAAACTTTATTTGAAATCAACCCTTTTCCTTCATCTATAAGAGTTAAGCTGCCTTAAAAAAGAAAGACTAAAGACTTTAACTAAGCCAAGTTCTCTTACCAAGAGGAGGCTGAAAATAGAAGGAGGAAGGAACTGAGGTAAAGAAAGCAGACTTTTGTTGCGAGAAGTCCGCCCTACTCTCTAAAAGACAGCTGGACCTGAGGTCTGTGTTTTCTCTCTTCTCTCCTTTAAAGCCAAGAAAGAAAATCCCACAGAACTCGGTTGGTTTTCCTTCAGGAATCCTACCAGGGAAAGCTGCCTGGGCATGCCCAGGCCCCTTCTCTATATCAGGGTCCCTAACCCCCAGGCTGCAGGCCTGTCAGGAACTGGGTCACACAGCAAGAGGTGAGCAGCAGGCCAGCCCGCAAAGCTTCATCTGTATTTGTGGCCGCTCCCCAGCGCTAGCATCACCACCTCGGCTCCACCTCAGATCATCAGGTTTTAGATTCTCATAGGAAAACTGGTCCCTGGTGCCAAAAAGGTTGGGGACCGCTGCTCTATATCATGAGGTCAGGGGCACAGACTGGGCACTGGTTGCCCACCAGAACATAAAAAATGTCTAGGAGGTGCAGAGAGTCGCCGGTTGCCCTGGAGAGCTGTTCCAGAAACGAAGCCCTTCCTTCAGCAGACTAGAAATCTTGCAGCAACTCAGAAGTAGGGGCCCCAGATTTCTGTCAGTGTGGCAGCACCTTGTTGTTACTGCGCCCCCTTGCCCCTTTCCCTGTTATCCAAAACGGCATCTATCATTCAAAAACTTAGCTGGATTTATAAATCCTGTGGTGCCCACTGGGACGTGCGTTAGTTTGGGTGTGGCAAAACTGCGACTAAGAACTGCTGCTCTAGAGACCAGAAAATGGAACTCTAACGGAACATGAGAAAGGTGAAAAACTCTAAGTTAATTTTTCTGACTTAAATTTTTAGACTCTTTCATATTTATCTTTTGTTTGATAATAAATTACCTTTTACATTGGAGAGAGATGGCCTTCAGCCGCCATAGTTTCAGCACCAAAGAGGAAGACTTGAGAATTATTAAAAAGTGTGAAATGAATCATGAAGCAGCACTGTGTCCAAGAATCTCTCCAAGAAAAACGTTCACATGAAATCTAGATGTAGTTTTCTTCTATAATGCACGAAATGCAGTTTTCCACAGAGGACACAAACATGTTGCTTATGACTGTTAGGACGTTTCATGCGGTGAATGCTGTGGGCTGAAGAAAGCCCAACACTCCTGTCTGAGTTTAACCTGAGGTTTAGGGGGAGAATATAGCACTTTATAGACTAAAATAAGAGTCACACTGGCTACAGAAATAGCCAAAGGAGAAGAACATTATATGTCCTTGGGTAGATCAAGATCCTTTTGGATATGTGGAAATCAATCACAGGATTTTAACTGAATATCAGAATTCAAGAAAAGGACTAAGCAACGCTTCCTCAGAAAACAGGATTCGCTTTACAGAAGCCTCAAATATGATGTTTTTTTCCCTCTGTTACCAAGTACGCTGATAGGCACATCTGATTATCCAATATGGTCCTTCAGTGGCACTATTAAAATACTAGAAACCACCCTGAAGAGAACACTACGTTCTGTTCAGACGGTTTTAGTGCTTATTTCCAAATAGGAAATTAAGAAATATAGAAAAAAATAAATCAATCTTTTAATTTTGTTATTTGTTTCCAGTTAACCACGGATTCCTTAAAAATCAAGTAACTATTTTGATATAGTAAAAATGCAAAAATTCTTTAGAATGTTTTTCAAATATCATAATAAGCAGTTCTGGAGAAACAAAAAAGTCAAGGTAAGGTTTTAATGGCTTTTTTTGTTTTCCACTCAGTATTTTTCCTCAATAGATAGTTACCTATCCTGGTAGTCACTGTTTCAAACCCAAACGCCGAGAAGGGCTGTATTTGGCAGCTGTACTGAGAAGGGTTCAACTACTAGCAGAGAAAATTCCCTCTAACAGTCGGCATTCAACAAAAACCAAAGTGTTCCCAATAAATCAGATTTATATTTACTTGGATATGGTGTAAAAACAAGCAAAGGCATTTAACTCTAGTTATTGTAGAGTTGAGGTTTAAAACATAAATAAATATATGTGTAACTGTTTACTTACGTGGAATGTAGGAGAGCATGACCAGGATTAGGAATGCATAATAGTCAAAGGAGAAATTGTATTTGTTAGGTAAACTGATGGAGTACAGTCCAGCCTGTCTGACAAAGGGCAAAGCCGCATAAATTGTGAGCAATTCTCCTGACACTCCCATTGGGTATAGCACAATGAAAAGTGTGTACCTAAAACAAAACAAAATATTCATTACTGAGGCTCGAAGCCACCTTTAGTAGAAAGACGCACTTCCAACCTTCTAATCAGTACTGGCCTTTTTAGAAAGCTATTGTTTATATGTTTTCTTATTTAGCTACTGTTTAAAATTGGATTTTACGAGCTAATTTTTGAAAAGAGCCTATAGTAGGTATGTTTCTGGATGTTCTAAAATAAAATAAATGTGTTTGGTCAGCCTCAAATTTGGCCTGAATGAATAGACAACTCATCACTCTAAGGTGATACCAAATATTGGAAAAGTAGGGGCACCAAGTCATGGTTTATACTGAGCAGTCTGCCCTGTGGGGTGGGAGTGGGCTGGGGATTTGCAGGGAGTTGAGGGGGAAGGTGTTAGAACATGTGTCTAGGAGTTCCTACAACACACACCAAGTCTGGTCTGTGGACTGAAAAAAAATAGCACATCCAATGTGTGTACATTGCTACAATTATTCAACTGTCTATGCATGCTACTGTGAAAAATGAAATATACACTAATTTAAAAAACATTTAAAATTTCATAATAGCTTTTGATCATTATGTAATTTTTCAATCAAAAAAACTATAATTACTATCACATGGGAGAATCCATATTTTTTTCACTTAAAAAGGAATTCTCTATGTTTCAAAAAGAATTCAGAGAGCAGTTCATCCTATGGCAGTAACTGGAAGTCATTTCGAATTATAAGTATTTCTAAAGAAATCATGAGCTCAGATTTTAAAAAGTCTTTGGCTGCAGCATTATTACAATAGCCAAGATATGAAAGCAACCTAAGTGTTCACTGATAAGTGAATGGCTAAAGAAGATTCATATATATGTGTATATATATATATAAATGAAATATTATTCACCCATAAATAATACAATCTTGCCATTTGTGATAGACCTAGAGTGTATTACACTAAGTGATGTATCAGACAGGGAAAGATAAATACCATGATTTCACTTATATATAGAATCTAAAAAACAGGACAAACGAACATACAAAACAAAAAGAAACAGATTCATATACACAGAGAACAAACTGATGGTTGCCAGAGGGGGTTGGGGATGGGTGAAAAAGGTGAACAGGAAGGAATAAGAGGTACAAATTCCAGTTATAAAATAAATAAGTCACGGGGATGTAATGTACGGCATAGGGAATATAGTCAATAGCATTGTAATAACTTTGTATGGTGACGGATGATAACTAAATATATCACAGTGATCAATTTGTAAGGTATATAAATGTTGGATAACCATGTTGTACACTTGAAACTCACATATAATATTGTATGTCAACTATTATAATAAAAAATAAAATAAAAACATAAAAAGTCTTTGGCTGTTTGTGACTGACAGCAAGCACTGGGCTCCAAAATTCCAGGTATAGGAATTGTGCTGAGAAATCTGTGATAATGAAAGGAAGACATGTTCCCCACTGCCAACTTCAGCCATGAGAAGGAGGACGACAGAAAGGGAACAATTTTCCAGAGGCCATGGAAGACAACGGACAGAGAATCATTCTCCAATAGTGAAATCAGGGCTCGGTCAGTAAATCTCCCCTATTACCAGAGTATGCAGCTTTCACAACATCTGCCCAGGTTGTTTAGGGACTGCTGTGTTTTTCCCATTTTTCCCTTTTCCTAATAAACATGTTTATTGCAATAAAAATAGAAAGAAAAAAAATGAAAGAAAGAAAGAGAGAGAAAGAAAATCAAGGCGTTCATATACTTAAAATGTTGGAAACAACTGGTCTGTGTCTCTAATCAGAACTTATAACTTATCTAGGAACCACTGTTTTCCTTCTATGAAAGGAGGCGTTTGGGCCCCATGTACAATTTTACTCCTTTTGCTTTATCAATCTGCTTCGCAGTCTTTTCCAACTCAGAAAACTGCTTACAAATGTTTCATGGATTAGTTCAGACAAATAGATGAACTGTCAGCCTTTTATTCAATTTATAATAAATATTACTGGTAAAAATAATCAAAGCAAAATAAAACTGCCAAACTGCCATTAAATGTTTGTTATTAATTTAAAATTAATTTCAGAGTCACAGCTTGTTGGCAAAATCAAGAATAGAAGAACTGGACTTGGTCCAAAAAACCATCGTAATGGCATCAGTTAAATTTGATATGGACAAAAATGGGGTGTCACATGAAATCTCTATTGAATAAACTGAAAAGAAATGACCCAATAAAAATAACTTAAGTATAAAGAATTTAAAAGTGTTTCTATTAATCAAAATAAAGTGGAGTTCTTTATCCTGATGAAATCGACAGACCAGATTTCTACCCAACCCCTATCTTACAGAACCGTATTTTTAGAAACTTGGAGGCAATATCTAGGCAATATTGCAGTGATGGATTTCAAAAGTTAGTCTTCATTCCCTGTACTTCTTTACCTGGCCCATTTGATGAGGTAAGGCAGATGGTTTAATAAACTGAATGTATAAAAGGAATAACGGATAATTTCTGTGATTGTCCAGGCAATAACAAACAGGAGGACACTGTCTTCACTCTGTACCTGAAGGAAAACAAAAGCAAAAGCAACAACATAAAACATTTTAATAAAAAGCATTCACAATATGCAGCCCAGTCCCCAGTCCCTTGCAGAGCTGGTGGGTTGAGTAAGTGGACACAACCCCTTGTCTCTATTCTCAGTGGCTAGAGCACAGTACAGAAAGAGCTTGGCACATAAAGGAACACATGCCTGTGATAACTGTGTAGGGCCAAGTAGGAAGAGGCAAGTGAGAAGGAACTCAGCTTACTGATGAGTGAGAGAGGCAGGGACTGGGAATCATGAGCTGTAGCTGCCAAAAAGAAATAAACACGATGAGTGAGTTTCACTGGCTAGCCTGTTGTGGAGAATGTGAACTGATGCTGGTGGGAGCCAAGAGTGGTTAGATAAGAAGAGTAGAAGGGCAAATTGGTGAAAAGCTTGGGATGCATTAACAAGAATTTCAATTTGCTTTGCAAGACAACGTGGAACCTGAGGAAATTTCAAGGAAGGGAAATGTCACAATCAAAGAAGAGGCTAATTCACTGAGCAGGATGAATTCAAGTGAGGAAAGATCTGGACACCATCTAAGAGGCAGAGTCCATTTATTCTCTCCCACTGGTGACTTCTTCCCCCAGACTAAGTCTGGTTTAATTCAAGGATTACAGAAGCTTTCCATACTGATCATATGAGGTAGCTAAAGCCAGAAGAGCTTTAGAGTTCCGAGCCTCCTCTGAAGTTGTTTTCATGTTGAAAAAACAATAACTCTTAAAAGAACCCCTTCGGTGTTTTTTAGGGATGTTCTCACTAGATGCCTTAGACTACACATCTCATATGAAAATCTACTACTGTGGGTTTCTAACTTTTAGCACCACTCACCCACTCCAGCTAGGTTTATTATGTTCTTTGTTGCTTGAAAAGCAATAATAAGAAACCACCTTGCACCTCAATTCATTTAAGTTTTCTTGTATCCAAAAAGGACAGTTAGACAGTTGGATGTGAATAGGAAATTCTGTTGAGTAAACCGAACAAATTTCAATTATAAGATGGATCTTCTCTGCCTTACTCCTAACATCTAATACAACAAAGGTATATGGTGTTCAAACCTTAACTTTTGCTTCTTTGTATTTGCAATGTTAATAGTTTTTAGCACTTATATTCTTCCTCAGAAAGTGTACATGGAGTGGTCCACCTACACAATGAAATAAGTAGTCATTTACATACCTATTAACTAAATTGCTCTGACAAAGAATTTCATAAATGCAAAGTTACTATTCTCTAAAAATAATAAGAATTTTATACTGTCAAGAGCAAGAGTACTTTTGTTTTCCTGGTACTCTCACATTAGCCAAAGTAAAAGCTTACATCTTTAAAGCTTTCTTGTTTTATTTTTCAGTCTGTCCCCAAATCCTTGCTTAAAACCCATCTATATTAAAAAATAATTTCAGCACACACTTTGCTTTTTGATGTACTTTGTAATCCTCCTCATCTTAAGGAGATGTTTTTATAGCTATGGGCTGAACCCTTGTTTAAAGACCTTTGCGTTATAATAGGAAGTTCTAATATTTTACACTGTAATCGTCTTGAAAGCAGGGAGTGTGTTTTATTCATCTTTTGATTCCCAAAAGCACTTTGTACTTTTCACAAGTAGGAGCTCAATAAATATTTGTGAAGCAAACAAATTCAGTCCTAATCAGGTCATTCCAAGATTCAGTACCCTGCTTTTTGATACCTGATATCAGTTTATGTGTAGTCTTAGTGGCCTTCAAGTAGACAAGCAACAAACAAAAACTCCAAACCTCCCACTCTGATTCAGCCTAGAGGTTACCTGATTTACCTCCACCCCAACCCCAGTTAGACTTGAATCAAAAGAACTATAACAAACTCAGACCCAGCCTAAATGTGAAAGCGGTCTGCTCCTAGAGTCGAGCTGTAAAGACACTGCCATAATTTTTAAAAAGCTGAGGATGGGGGAAATAGCCTATTTGTACAAATTCTATCTTCAGATCAATAGGAAGTGCAACACTCTTATTAATAAGGGACTTGGGCAAATCAGAAATTGAAATTATCTCATTGGCAGATAATTACCTAATAACACAAAACAGGGAAAGAATATTCTGAGTTAAAATCAGTAAGATCAGTGAGACTCAAACACATTATTTATACACCTACATTCATAACAGGGCATTATTCACAATAGCTAAAAGGTAGAAATAGCACATATGTCTATCAACAGTTGAACAAAACTAAATATGATACATATATACACAATGGAATATTCTTCATCCTTAAAAGGTAATTCTAACACATGTTATAACATGGATAAACCTTCAACCCATTATGCTAATAAGCCATTCACAAAAGGACAAATACTGTATGATTCCACTCCTGTGGCACTCACTTGAGAGTTAGTCAAATTCAGAGAGACAGAAAGTAGAGACAGAAGACTGCCAAGGGCTGGGGGTGGGAGGAAATAGAGAGTAATCATTTTAAAGGGTACGGAGTTTCAGTCCGAGGATATGAAAAAAGTTCTGGCAGTAGATGTGGTGATGACTGCACAACAATGGGAATGTACTTAACGTAACTGCACCATACACTTATGAACTGCTAAAATGTAAATTTTATGCCATGCATATTTTACCACAATAAAAAAATTAAAAAACCCAGTGAGATCAAATTTAACAAGGCTAAATGTAAAGTAATATGATTCAGCAACAACAAAACGACTCCGGTACAGAATGCCGAAGACCCAACTTATGAATCCATTAAATATGGAGTTTTTGGTGAACCATAAGCTTCATATGAGCCAACAGGGTACAGGTGGCTGTTCCAACCAACCAACCAACCAACCAACCAACCAACCAACCAACCAACCAGTATTTGCCTAGGTATCTTCTCTTGATTATTTTAAATAGATTAGAGCCCACCTAGGGATCAGAGTCGGTTACAAGAAACCTTGAACTAGCAGAGCTTACTTTGGACAAGGAAAGAGGGTTACTACTTCAAATACGGAAAAGGATATCATGTACAAGAGGCAGATGGACAGGAGAGACTAATCGAAATATTAACAGGGAGTAAAATGCCTGGTTTGAAATGAGAAAAACTATGTAACGAACCAGTTGACTAATAAAATAAGCCACTTCACGAGGCTACTTCCGGGCCCTGAACATGTCCAAACCAAGACTGCTCAGGAGAAAGTCCTGGATGGTAGCCCATAAGGCTTCCAACTGCTTTTTGTTGGAAAGGGGTGTGCATACAGCCTATGTATGGAAAAAGCATCAAACTCTGGCTAATACTAACTTCCTTGCATCAGCTGGAATTTTTTTAGTTGGAAAGAAAAATGGGTAGACACTTTAATAGTACTTCTTATAAAAAATTTTCCTTTATCAAAGAAGGCAGGAGAGGAGAGAATGACTTAAAAGACCTCTTTTCATTACTGATTGCTGAGTGTGTAGAACGGGAATAGTTCCCTGGCTCACTCACCTCCGTGGATGGTGAGGTCTCAGGGGTCCGCCCGTGTCTTATCTGAATTGGCTTCCTTAGCTCTCAACATGGATCTGGACACAAGGAATGTGTGGAATCATTGCCTCTAATTTGAATACCTTGATTTTTTTTCTTCTACTTTTTTGAAAGCTGGAGTTGGGAACATTTTTCTAACAAGTAGGGAGCCTTCTTTCTTTCAAAGGCCAGTGACTCAGAGAAAGAAAATCAACTGATAGCCTCACTGAAGTAAAAACAAAGCCTGTTTAGCTTTGCAGGCATTTTTTAATGGGCCAAGGACTAGAGTTTAAAAAAGTCAACTTTTTGAATTAAGAGCTAGAAATATATAATTTTTTTTGGCACTGTGATTAGAGGTCATTGCCATAAAAATCACTTCCCTCTCAAAATTCATTCATTCATTCATTCATTCATTTAATTTGTGGCACTGGTTAACGAAATCCAGTAAGTTTCAGGTGTACAATTCAACAGTAAGGCATGTATATATTGCATTGTGTGTTCACCACCCAAAGTTAGATTTCTTTCTGTCACCACATATTTGATCCCTCGTCTACCTTTTCCCTTCTCCCTCCCCCTCCCCTCTGGTAACCACTAGTCTATTGTCCATGTCCATGAGTCTCTGTTTGTTTGCTGCTTTTAGGTTTATATCCCACTTATAAGTGATATCATATGGTTTTCAACTTTTTCTGTCTGGCTTATTTCGCTTTAGCATGATTTTCTCAAGGTCCATCCATGTTTTCACAAATGGCAGTATTTCATCTCTTCTTATGGCTGAGTAATATTCCATTGTATGTATGTACCACAGCCTCTTTATCCAATCATCTATCACAGAGCACTTCAGTTGCTTCCATGTCCTGGGCACCATGAATAATGCTGCTATGAACATCCGTGTGCAAATATCTTTTTGGATGTATGTTTTCAAGTCTTTGGGGTAAATACCCAGTAGAGGGATTGATTGCTGGATCATATGGTAGATCAATTCTCAGTTTTTTGAGAAACCTCCATACTGTTTTCCGTAGTGGCTGTACCAATTTGCAGTCCCAACAGCAGTGTATGAGGGTTCCTTTTTATCTGCATCCTCTCCAACATTTGTTATTACTTATCTTGTTGATTATAGCTATTCTAACAGGTATGAGGTGGTATCTCATTGTGGTTTTGATTTGCATATCCCTAATAGCTAGTGATGTTGAACACCTTTTCATGTTTGTTAGTCATTTGTATGTCTTACTGAGACAAGTGTCAGAAATATATTTTATTAATTATCAAGAATAGGAGGTTTAATATGTCCACACAAAGATTTGCACTCAAATATTCATAGCAGCATTACAATAGCCAAAAACTAAACCAACCCAAATGTCCAGCAACTGGTGAATGGCTAAAACAAAATGTGATACACACCCATACAATGGAATCAACACAAAGGAAAGAAATACTGATAAATGCCACAACACAGATGAACCTAAAAAACATTATGCTGAGCGAAAGAAGCCAAATGACTACCTTTGTTATGACGAGTTCAAGTACATGAA